TCCCAAAGCGGTATAAAATTAACGCGCACCCCCTGCTCTTGCAGCGTTTCCGTTTCTCCGCTTCAAGTTGCTCGAGGCACAACCTTCCTGAAAATCTGAACTGGCAGCACGTTAAACTTTTGGTACAACTGTCGTTTAGAACTGCTACCGCGTGTACGAGAAGTTGATTAGCTTCCCGATAGCAAACACTCTATGCTAAATTTTGAACAATGCCTTAATTCATATCCGAGTGCAAAACTGTCAACCATTTTTAACGCGTCACACGCTGGCTTTTATTATTCGCTAACGCTTGTTGGGTTCTCCGGGTTATTTCGTTGGGGGTGGAAACGTTTTGGAATGGTTTCAGTAATTTATGGTCGTGCGGGTTAAATATGTGTATGTTTTATTATTGTGCATGAGTGATGTGACGTATAGATATATTAATGTTATGTTATGAAGTATTATTCTTGCGAGTAATTTAGTTTCATGGTGATGAAATATGTGAGTGCTTTGTTATTATACAACTTTGGGAATTGGGGATGTGGGAATTGGAGAATTGGGATTTGGGAATTTGGGGATTTGGGGATTTGAGAATTTGGGTACTTGAGAATTTGGGGATTTAGAAATTTGGGGATTTAGGAATTTGGGGATTTGGGAATTGAGGATTTGAGAATTTGGGGATTTAGGAATTTAGGAATTTGGGGATTTGGGGATTTGGAAATTTAGAAATTTGGGGATTTGGGAATTGGAGATTTGGGAATTGGGGATTTGGGAATTGGGGATTTGGGAATTGGGGATTTGGGAATTGGGGATTTGGGAATTGGGGATTTGGGAATTGGGGATTTGGGAATTGGGGATTTGGGAATTGGGGATTTGGGAATTGGGGATTTGGGAATTGGGGATTTGGGAATTGGGGATTTGGGAATTGGGGATTTGGGAATTGGGGATTTGGGAATTGGGGATTTGGGAATTGGGGATTTGGGAATTGGGGATTTGGGAATTGGGGATTTGGGAATTGGGGATTTGGGAATTGGGGATTTGGGAATTGGGGATTTGGGAATTGGGGATTTGGGAATTGGGGATTTGGGAATTGGGGATTTGGGAATTGGGGATTTGGGAATTGGGGATTTGGGAATTGGGGATTTGGGAATTGGGGATTTGGGAATTGGGGATTTGGGAATTGGGGATTTGGGAATTGGGAATTTGGGAATTGGGGATTGGGGATTTGGGAATTGGGGATTTGGGAATTGGAGATTTGGGAATTTGGGAATTTGAGGATTTGGGAATGTGTGGATTCGAGTATGTGAGGATTTGCGAAAATGGGAATTAGGGGGTGTGAGGATTTGGGGATATTGGAATTTGAGACTATGAAGATTTGGGAATGTGAATATTGGGGATTCTGGAATTGGGAATTTAGAAATTGGGGATTTGGGAATTGATAATATAGAAATTTGAAAATTTGGAATTTGGATACTTGGAATTTTGAAATTGGAAATTTATGAATTAGTGAATTAGTGAATTTTGAACTTAGGAACTTAAAAATTTAAGGGCGAGAGATTTGGAAGTTTGGGAATCGGGTAATTTGTAAACTTGTAAATTTGATGACATAAGAGTCGATAATTTAAGAATTTGAAAAATTGTTACTTAATAACTATTTAATGATTTTAATTTCTGGAATTGTGAATGTGTTGAATGTTTAAAATGAATTGTACATAAATAATATATTTTTGTTGCAATCCTTTGTTTCATCTTTTTATTAGAATTCATATAAGCAATTCGGAAATGTAACATAAGTTATCATGTAGATAATATATGTACAATATGCAGTTTGATGAATGTCGATATAAATTTTCTTCTTCTACCACCATTTAAAAACGTCATTTTCGTAAATGACGAAAGTAACACCCAGATTATTTGTGAGAAATAATCTGAAAAGTGATATTGCATTTCAAAATATGTATATGTGAGATTTTATTAAGGAAATACAATTAAAATGAAGATAATTGTTGGATTCCAAGTGATGGATATATGAAGACAAGAAATGCGAAATGTGTGATTAAGGGGAAGAAGCTGGGAAGCATTTGACGAGAATATGCGAATATGTGGAAGAATGAGAGGAGAATATGCGAATATGTGGAAAAATGAGAAAATGGGGAAATTAATGGACGAGGTAGATCAAGAAACTGCGGCGGGAAAACGTGCCATTACATAGCGCCACTATAGTGGCTCACTCTACTGGCCGTTTCCATTGAATGATCGTTTCATATGTTTTGATTCGCACTTTTTTGCCTTCACCACGTTTCATAAGAGTATTAACAAATCCCACAAAAGTACATTACATGTAAATAAAAGGTACCAAGTAGTTTAGGCACCGTGGAGCACCTCTTTGCACTAATACGATATTGGAAACATTTGGAAATGAAATATTTTGTGAATTTTCTAAAAAAATAAATTATCAAAGTTAAAGCTTATCATATCTTTGGGAAAAATTATAATTTAATCATGAAAAACTTCATTCCAATGTACTCGCGTAGAGAACATTGTTAAACATTGTAGTGCTGTACGCATAATTCGCGTCGAACTCGTATAGAGAAACCGCATAAAGTTCAGCTGCGTGGGAGGTTAAATTCATGTGAATTAAATTACACATTTATTTGTTATGAATTTTTTAATAAATACGAATAGTACATTTAAAATTTATATACCAATGCAAAATTTATACGGTAATATTTCATACCGTGGTATAAATTTTTTATACAAATAAAAAAGATAATAAAGCACGTTACTTCACACAAAAACGGTAGATAAATAATGAAGTAAAAGTTTGAATGAACACCGAGTGAATATTATAGATGTCTTCCTCCCGAAAAGTTGGACTAATTAACAAACTAGCGGCACCAGAAACTTTGCTAGCTTGCTATTTACTCCTGAGACAAGTGTACCAAAGTGCATCAAGTTCAATAACAAGTGATTCGTTAAACAGAACTACTTTCTGCAAACTGAATGCCAGATAACGCTGCCGTGAGAATTGTAATCAATAACAGAACCCTTAAAACACTATTTACTCTATGTAATATTTCACCGCAAAGTTTGCCTTCTTGTTAATATATTATTCTCGCTAGGTTTTAATACAGTAACAGTAGCTTGAATACAATTTTCATCAAACATTCATCTTCATTTAAAGATCGTGCAGTTTATGTTTCCATAAAAATATAACTCGAATATATTCTTTCAACTTAATTTAATAATTATAAGATATTAATTAATGAAGTTCGGGATGTGCTTAAAATGTTTTTTAATTTAAGAACTTTTAAAAGAATTTTTAATTAATTTAATTTAATTTAATCATTGATTGTGGAATTGATGTGTTAGATAATTTATAATTTTTGAATGGCTGTTTTTACAGGGTTTCATAAAGTCCGCATAAATATTTCTAATTTCTATTTTTTTAATTAGGGAATTTTTTCAATAATAAATACTCAATGATATAAAAATAAAAGTTTGAGTGACTCTTGGCATAAAATCTATTTTTGTGAAAATTGAGTGTTACAATTTAGGGAATTCAATTATAATAATTCATATTACGGGGCTTGATTGGGAACAGCTTGTACTGTTTCTTCTATTTGATGAATTAGGTTAAACAGAAATGTGGAAGTGCTCATTTGACTTTAAGATTGAATTTTACACCTTTAAAGATCGATCGAGCATGAATAAAGCATGTCGTAATTCTTGTCTTGGATTACTCTATAAACCCATAAAGTTTCATTTAATCGATAAGTAATAGTTCCCGATATTTACTCTTAAGGTTACTCTACTAATTAACAAAATAAGATATAAAAAATAAAATTAAAAAAAATATAACAAAAATATAAAAAATAAAATATAAAATCTTTAATAATTCACATCATGCTGTGTCAATTTTCGCACTCATGATTTTTAATTTGATCTCGTGCCAATTAACAATTAACGTTTATTTCATGATCCAGTTTCATTTAATTAAAAGTTAAATGGCAGTTGTTAAATTCAATAATTTCCTCACTGAAAATTGGAGTCCACCAATTCAAACTTTAATTCAAAATTATCAAATTAAAGATTAAAAGTTTAATTTATTCGGGAGATTCTGTGATTAATTATTGATTTTCGTTAACCGAACTTTCTTTTGATTAAGAATGATTTAATTATCAATTCCATTACGTATAATCAGAAATTAAAATTGATTTCATAATTATACTGTTGACGTAGAACCTAATTTTAGGTGATTACAATTTTATTAAACTGATAATTGCAAGTTTTGCAAATTAAGTACTGTAACTCTTTTAAATTGAGAGCTGTGATTGGCTCAAAGTGATGATTGCAATTTTACTGAACTGATAATTGCAATTTTAGTGAATTGATAATTGCAATTTTACTGAATTGATAATTGCAATTCTACTCAATTAATAATTGCAATTTTCGCAAATTGATAATTGCAATATGTCTGCATTGGTAACTACACTTTTTGCAGATTGATAATTACAATTTTCTGAAACTGGTAAATGAAAGTATTCAAAATTAATGATAGCAATCTTTCTAAATTGATAATTGTAATTTTCCTCTCATAATAATTGCAATTTTCCTCTCATAATAATTGCAATTTTCCTAAGTTGATTGAAATTTCTCGGAATTGAGAAATAAAATTTTTCTAAATTGATATTTCCAATTTGCTCAATGTAACAAATGGAACTTTGCCAAATCAATAATTGCAATTTTCCGGAAATCAATAATTGCTATTTTCCTAAATTAATATTTGCCATTTTCCACATTGCTAACTTTCTACATTTGAAATTGCAATTTTCTAAAAATGAATAAATGCAATCTTCCCAAAATTTGCAAACTTTCCAAGTTGAAAATTGCAAATATATTTAATTGTATTTGTAATTACTTTGCGATACTATAAGATGTAACTAAAAATGAGAAAAAAGGCGATACTAAAAAATTTCCACTACAAGCGACAAGTTGTCGATTAAGACATAAAATATTACCTAAAACGGTGACGTTCGTGATGAGCATTCTCGGGGGATGCGTGTTCACTTGACAGACGTACAATCCACGATCCTCTTTTCTTACCCCAGCAATCGCCAGCCTCCAATTATTTGGATATTGAAAGCTAACGCTGTACCTGGGATTGGAAATGTGAGTAGTGTTACCCAGAGTTAAAAGGGATGCCCAGTCCGCGTTGCGGCGTAACCACATGACCTACAATTATGACACAGGGTTCTACAATTGTGTACATGATACTATAACAACGTGTGTGGTTAAAATACAGCCAGTTAAATGAAGGTGTATCAAGGGACGTTAAATATGTTCTATGTTACGCGTTTAGAAGAGTATGTCAGTTGACGCATTTGGGTTGAGCTTCGAGTCCTTTGAATAATTTATGGGATGTCAGTAAAAATTTTTTATTAGGGTAGCGTGTTGAGGTTTCGTGTTGATGTATTAGTAAACCCTTTGCACTCGAAGGGTCGTAATTACTCAACACAATTACTATACAAGGGTAATAATTTAAAAGAGGTATTGTTACAATTTGAAGTTAGCATTTTAAGTGTAAATTTATGTATGTGCTGTATAAACATAGTGAAAAATATAATAGCAACAATTGATAAGCGAGAAATAATAACGTTCAAAGTATTCATCAAGTTTTTCAACTGAAAGATTTAGCAAAAGGTTAAGCTATTTAGCACTGACTGACATTTTGACTGGCACATGTTTGATTGAGACTTAAATTTCCATACAGAGCTAACTTCTGTGTTATTAAAAATTTATTCACTTTTCTAGTTTATGTCTCATTTCTAATTTAAGTAATTTATAATATCTCTTCATAGTTTATGTTTAAATTCTAATTCAAGCAATTTGTAATATTTCTGTCTAATTTATGTCTAATATCAATTATAAATACCTGTTTCCCAGACAACATCGCAACACGACAATCGAGAAGAGCCGTGGCACCAAGATGTAACGCGACATTTTGGGATCCATTAATACCCTGACCTTCTGCATTCTCGAAATAAGGATCCCAGTCCGTTACTCGATGATGTCTCAATCGAGGAATACGAAGGGGTGGCAGATTGGCAATTATTTCCTCTGCAACAAATCCATGAATGCGTAATGAACATCTCATTATGCTAATACATATTGAATAGTAGCAATAACGTTTCAATCTATTTTGATTGAAACTGTGAAAGTACAATTCTGCATACAAAATAGTTTTTACCTTGTCAATTTACTTTACTGTCCATATTTTCTATTGATAGTGGTAATTTTATGGGAATTAAGGTCACTGATATTAACGAGATTAATAAGTTTGGGATGAGGTGTGGATATTTGTAGAAATTTCAAATTCATAGGGTTAGAGATTTTTATACTTTTGGATTTTGGAAAATTTGGGGATGTCAAGGCTTAGGACAGTTTAGGATTTTTGAATTTAGGAAGTTGAAAATTTGAGGACAAGGTTTACGAAATTTGGGAATTTTTAAAATTGGGATTGGAAAGTTTAGGAATTTGGAAAATTTGAGAAATTGGAAATATGAAAATTGGGGAATTTGGAAATTTGAAAATTGGGGAAATTGGAAATTTGAAAATTGGGGGATTGGAAATTCCAAAATTTGGAAATCGGGGATTTGGAAATTCTGAAATTTGGAAATTGGCAGATTTGGAACTTCTAAAATTTGGAAATTAGGAGATTTGGAAATTCTAAAATTTGGAAATTGGGGGATTGGAAATTCTAAAATTTGAAAAGTGGGAGATTTGGAAATTCTAAAATTTGGAAATTGGGAGATTGGAAATTCTAAAATTTGGAAATTGGGGGATTGGAAATTCTCAAATTTGGAAATTGGGGGATTGGAAATTCTAAAATTTGAAAATTGGGAGATTTGGAAATTCTAAAATTTGGAAATTAGGAGATTTGGAAATTCTAAAATTTGGAAATTGGGAGATTGGAAATTCTAAAATTTGGAAATTGGGAGATTGGAAATTCTAAAATTTGGAAATTGGGAGATTGGAAATTCTAAAATTTGGAAATTGGGAGATTGGAAATTCTAAAATTTGGAAATTGGGAGATTGGAAATTCTAAAATTTGGAAATTGGGAGATTGGAAATTCTAAAATTTGGAAATTGGGAGATTGGAAATTCTAAAATTTGGAAATTGGGAGATTGGAAATTCTAAAATTTGGAAATTGGGAGATTGGAAATTCTAAAATTTGGAAATTGGGAGATTGGAAATTCTAAAATTTGGAAATTGGGAGATTGGAAATTCTAAAATTTGGAAATTGGGAGATTGGAAATTCTAAAATTTGGAAATTGGGAGATTGGAAATTCTAAAATTTGGAAATTGGGAGATTGGAAATTCTAAAATTTGGAAATTGGGAGATTGGAAATTCTAAAATTTGGAAATTGGGAGATTGGAAATTCTAAAATTTGGAAATTGGGAGATTGGAAATTCTAAAATTTGGAAATTGGGAGATTGGAAATTCTAAAATTTGGAAATTGGGAGATTGGAAATTCTAAAATTTGGAAATTGGGGGATTGGAAATTCTAAAATTTGAAAAGTGGGAGATTTGGAAATTCTAAAATTTGGAAATTCTGAAAATTGAAAATTTAGAAATTTGAAAATTGGGGGTTTTGGATATTCTGCAATTTGCGAACTTAAACAATTTGAAAAATTTAATAATTCCAACTTGAAAAATTAATTATTAAATTAAAATCATATTATGTACTTTTCACTTTAATTCAATCTTCTTACACCTCTGAACAACCATTCCAATAAAATATAAAATTTCTACTCCCATATTGTTCTCCCTAAAAATGCATATTCATTTATGTACACCACTCTAAAACCCAGTAAAACATTTGTTAAATCTGTTGAATACATTTTTCGAAGTATAACACCGCACGTACAGAAAACTGTTAGTTCAGCACATGCTCTACCAAGGAATATTTTCGGTCTACAGCTTTCGTATATCGCGGAAACATTTTCGACTAAAAAGGTTTATTAACGCGTGAATTTGGGAGTTTAAAAAAAAACTATCAAAAATACTCGCTTCAAACGTTACAGAGTTGAGCGGGCAGCTGTAGAGGAACCTTTCAGAAATTTTTTTCACCACTGAATCCAAGCGATTACCGCTTAAACACTGCAACTTTTTTTTTAATCTGAATTTACCGCTGAGCTTGCAGGAATAATAAATGGAGCCTTTAGAGCACTGTTGGAATGAATATTTTATTTAATTATACTGTTTTTGGTATTTTTGTGGTAATCTTTTGTTTTATCGTAAAGATACAAATTTTCATGAGAATGTAATGTAAAAATTATTATACAAATTTTTGTAGATTATTTTTATGAAGATTTATTTGTAATCGGGTTGATTTAGTAAGATATTTATTTTGTGTTATGCATTTGTTTATTAACTTGTAAAGATAAATTAATTTACCATTTTTTAATTTGTTAAGATGAATCAACTTATGAATTATTAATGTGAGAAGTATAAATTAACATATCATTTTTTAATTTATCAAGATGAATTAACTTATCAATTATTAATTTGTAAGATGAATTAACTTATCATTTTTTAATTTGTGAAGATGAATCAACTTATGAATTATTAATGTGAGAAGTATAAATTAACATATCATTTTTTAATTTATCAAGATGAATTAACTTATCAATTATTAATTTGTAAGATGAATTAACTTATCATTTTTTAATTTGTGAAGATGAATCAACTTATGAATTATTAATGTGAGAAGTATAAATTAACATATCATTTTTTAATTTATCAAGATGAATTAACTTATCAATTATTAATTTGTAAGATGAATTAACTTATCATTTTTTAATTTGTGAAGATGAATCAACTTATGAATTATTAATGTGAGAAGTATAAATTAACATATCATTTTTTAATTTATCAAGATGAATTAACTTATCAATTATTAATTTGTAAGATGAATTAACTTATCATTTTTTAATTTGTGAAGATGAATCAACTTATGAATTATTAATGTGAGAAGTATAAATTAACATATCATTTTTTAATTTATCAAGATGAATTAACTTATCAATTATTAATTTGTGAAGATGAATTAACTTACCATTTTTTAATTTGTGAAGATGAATCAACTTATGAATTATTAATGTGAGAAGTATAAATTAACATATCATTTTTTAATTTATCAAGATTATTTAACTTATCATTTATTAATTTGTGGATTTACATTTATGGATTAACATTTGTCAATTTATCAAGATAAATTAACTTATCATCTGAATTCTCACACCCCCACTAATCCTTTCTTGTGTGATTCATTCAAGCTTGCAAAAATATATATTTTTCTACTTTCAGAAGTGGTAATAAATAATACCATAAATACAGATTTTCTCAATTTTGTCTTTTCAAAGAAAAAATATAAAATTGTAAACACAATTCAAAACAAAAAATCATCAAAGAGAAAAGATGATTCTAACAATTCCAACAGTAATAAACACAGTCAATTTATCAGTACATCAAAACATAAAAGTTGCATAATATGCAACGCTTATGCAGCACAATCGCAATCCAGTGCAATGAAGGGTTAATAATTTGCAGCTGGCGCAAATAGCTCTAAGGGTGCATTTGTATTTATAGGCACCACTGCACTATTTCTTCAAACATAATTTTTCGAATATATGAATATCTATCATTTCGAAATTTAAATGCGTAATTTTAATCGAACCACTGTTGTGTGCGTTCTATAGATCTAGGTCATGATTAACCCGACCTCACCGTACGAGGATTAATAATTAATGTTTTAATGTGCCTTACTGCAAGTGTTCATTTTCACTCTAGCAATTAACATATTAATGCCTGTAGGTTCATTCATTTTTCATTATTTATTGCTGCACAACTGAGGAGAAGTGTTAACACGAAAATATGCATGTCGATCAACTGATTAACTATCACTAATAGAAGTAAATCAGTTTCATGCCATTTAAGAAATAAATCAGTTTCATGTCATTTAAGAAATAAATCAGTTTCATGTCATCACAGAAATAAATCAGTTTAATGTCATTTAAGAAATAAATCAATTTAATGTCATTTAAGAAATAAATCAGTTTAATGTCATTTACGAAATAAATCAGTTTAATTGGGTAAATATTTAGAATCAAATAAGGAAAATAAAATTGAGAATAAAATAAAATCAATTTATATTTCTATAGTTCTATTTCTGATATTTTGTATGATATAATATTTTTCTTTATAGAGAAAAGAAAATGTCACATTATTTTCATTTAAGAATCATTACGTGAATTAAAAAAAATTAACTACATTTTAATTTCAAGTTGTAATAAACAAAAATTAGTACAAATATCAGCCAAATATTGTGATAGTCTCAATATGACATTTTTTAAAAAACTAACCTTATTTTAATATTTTAATGTAATAAACAAAGACTAGAGCAGATATGAAATAATTATTATGGCAGTCTTGCTATGACTTTTCTTAAAAATCTAACCTTATTTTAATATTAAAAGGTAATAAATAAAAACTAGAACATATGTTAGATAAATGTTATGGCAGCATCAATGATCTCTCACAAAAGATTACATCCTCAACAACTCAAAATTTATCTACCAGTCAAAAGTTACAGCTAATATAAATGGAAGGTAAAATTTCATAAAACCACTTTAAACATTTGTTACGCTGTGGTTATTTATTATAGTGTTCAGTTTTCGCTAACAGAAGTTACAACCCCGTATTAAGGGATCATTTCTAAGACAATACGATAATATAAAGTTTAGGACCTGATCTAAATTAGGAAACCTTCCTGTACCAAAACGAAAGATATTTTTCCTGAGATTTCCTTTTATGGAATGCATTCGTTGCAATTTTGTTTGAACGAAACAACCATAAATCGCGGCACGAGCTTCCCCTTGTTCACTGATTATATCTTCTTAATGAAAGGAAGATAGTCGAAATGTACCGGGACATTGTACAAAACAGGAATAAAATACAACCCCGATTCTAATTCCCTTAAAGCTACAATTTTCGCTAAGATTTTCCTCTAAGCTAAGGACATCCATCTTGCACGACGACGTTGTAATAGGATTC